ACCCCTGACATTCTGTGATTCTGTGAGTTTTCTGCAACGGAAATTGCCTGAGGAGATAGTGTTATGAATATGAATAAAACTACCCCTTCATTAGCAGCATTCCCAGTTTTCCAACCAGTTTGACTATTTTTCTTGGTGTCACTGAAGTGAACAAACTCCTGAAATTATTGTTGCTGCAGCACTTAATCTGCTAATGTCATCACTGCCTTGCTGTTGTCTCTTGCATGGCTTGATGGTATCTCCAAAGATCATTAAGATCACCTGCTACCAAGCTAGCCCATTTGTATTTTACCTGGTGCCTAGAGGAGATGGACTTTGGTTAGCATCTCCCAGGTCTCACTGGGCAGTGCTCCTCTGCTTTTGTGGTCTTCTTATCAGACATTTTCATATTGGCCTTTCTTTGAATCAGGTTTGACTTCATTTCTTCAACATCTGTCTGTCTGTCTGTCTATCTATCTATCTATCTATCTATCATCTCATCACATGAATAACCTAAAGTTTCATTGAAGGAGTGGGTGAGAAGGCAGAAAAGCAATGCATAACTGAAGGCAAAGCCTGGGAGTTTGAAGTCTTGGACTCCAAGGGTCTTGGAAGCAATCTGATAAATGTTTTGTTTTGCAAGTGTAGCTTGACTGTGGACAGCTAAAGTGGACTCTTGTGCTTCTGTCCCCCAGCAGCTTGGTGTGCTCACCATAGCTGGCAGAAGCCTAGTTTATTGCTCCAATGTACTCCATTCTCATGGTCTAAATGTATTTTATACAAATATTTTATACAAATATCTTGCCTTACACTTATTGGTAAGAGTCATTATCTATGAAATTATGCTATTTCCCATAGATACAGATATCTGAAAAATAAAGATAGCCATTGAATATACTCTGTATATCAATTTGAAAAAGAAAGGAAAAGACGATGAGACAGCCCTTGTCTAGAGGCAGCAAGTTAGCCATTTAAACACTTGCAAAAAAATGTCAGAGCCTTCAATCTGCTGCTACTTCCTGTAGATCTGCTTATCATCATGACTCAAAACATATTTTTGCAGAGTCCCACTGTTATTTTAGATAGCCTGCAGGACATTTTTCATGCAATAGCAGTCCAAGGCAAAACAATTTCACTTCAGGTTTTCAATGGCAACGAGATTATATTAATGGATCTCATTAACTGGATCTCATGGAACAATGACACCATTGGGGTGAAGAACAACATAATGACCTTTGAGGAACAAGGAGAAGAGTCACCCACCAGTCTTTAAAGCAAATATTAGGTCATCAAACTCCTGTGATTCTTCATCAGCAACCAATGAGCCAGTACTAAATCCTCCAGAAGGGTGGAAAACATTGCCATTTTGCGGACTCTGCTTAAAGGCAGCACTAGCTTGACCTGCAGGCTGCAAGGATGCCCTCTCCCAGTCTGCAGGCATCTGCAAAGTTTAAAAAGACACAGAAATTCAGTAAACATCAAAACCCTAGTGTAGAAACTGTAATGTATGACCATACTAACTATGACCATACTAAGTAAACTGTGGCTTTTAAAAAAAAATTAAAAAAGAGGTATGTATCTCTCTATGTAACTTGACTACAGGTCATTTAACCTTGTGTTTATTATGCCTGTGCTAGCTTTCTCAAAGAGTTGAAAAAGTATTGCTATTTCTGAATGCTGGGCCCTGGTTTGGAGCACTTTAGAGTAAACAACTGAAAAGTTCCAGCTCACTTCTACCTTACCACTGCCTGTCCTCTGCTGGGCCCCGCTTCTCCCCTCTGTAGCCACTAATCATCATTACTGTTCATTATATGACCTGCAGTTGGCAAACCACTGGTTCCTTTGTGTACCAAAACATTTTTTTTAAAGTAATTTACCAGTCTTTGAAGGTTCTATTAGTGGTACACAGCCCAAGAGCTTAGTTATCAACTTCATTGTAGTTCATCTGCCACTTCAGTTTAAGGTAGAGATGCACAAAAAAATTAGAATTTCATTTCACGAGAAAATGTATCTCCTCCTTAAATGTGGTGGAAAGCCAAAATACTGAATTCTAAAAAATACATACTTTAGGATAATAAAAATATATTTTCTTGGTTTATTGCTCATCCACTGTTTCAGAGCTCAGAAATGCTTGCCATGTAGAGCTGAGATGCTATGCATTCCACAGCTGAGGAGCCAGGCATCATCTTAAGTGAGACGATGACAAGTTGAATAAACTTAGTGGGCTGCCAGGAGGCAGCTGAGGAGCTTCAAAATCCAGACAAACCTACAGTCAAGCAGGTAGAGAAATAGGAAAAACAGCTGCCAGGTAAGCAGCTTGGTTTCCACAAAAAAATATTGCTAGAACTGACATGTCCCCTTGAAAGATTTCAACTCCATTAAATATGTGTTTTTCCTGGAAAAACTGTTTAGCTGGAAACTTTTCAACTACCTCTATCAACTTGCACATGTACACAGCAGCAAAAATCACCTTGGTTTACTAAAGGTTGTCAAAAGTGATACTAGCAACATTCCAGTTCCAGCAACAAAGATCTTGAAAATCATTTCCCTCAAAATCTCCTCTCCTCTCCTCTCCTCACCTCTCCTCTCCTCTCCTCTCCTCTCCTCTCCTCTCCTCTCCTCTCCTC